TGCCCTGTGCCCTGTGATGGACTGGCATCCCGTCCAGGGTGTCCCCTGCCCTGTGCCCTGTGATGGACTGGCATCCCGTCCAGGGTGTCCCCTGCTGTATGCTCGGTGCTTCCTGGGATAGACTCCGGGCTACCCATACCGGATTAACAGTGATGGAAAATGGATAGGTAATAATAATAATAATAATAATAATAATAATAATAATAATAATAAACTGTGTGGAGGAAGGCTTTAGTGTCTGTAAAGTAATTGGCCTACAAGGCCTGAGCTTTCCTCTGCAGCAGAGAGAGACAGAATCCTCATGGGGGGAAAGACAGCAGACAGAGGGGTGGTGGAACAGGAAACCAACAGCCAGAAGAGGAACATTTTCAACAAACTGTATGATAGACCAGGCATTCAGAGGTTTCCGTGGAGATGCAGAGGCCAGAGACTGGCAAGGGAGCTTCTGCCAATGAGTACATCTTAAGCACAGAGTTCATTTCAATTTGCTCTTTAACAACAGCACACAAGCATGAATCCAGCACCCTCAGAGTGTAAAGGGCTCCATCACATCATCTCTGAAGATCTCAGTTGCTCCCCCCCCCCCCTTCCTTTTGGCCATCGGGATGGGGGGTTTGCTACATGAACATCACTACACGGGGACGAGGACTGGAAGATGTGGCTGTAAATACTGAACTGACATCCTCCTCCCAGTCATCTGTCCATCCTGAGCAGACGCACATCCCGGCCACTAGTACTGCACCTTGCCGGGCACCTGCGCGTTCATGCCGCTGTAGTCCACCATGTACATGGGCCATTGCTGCAGGGGAAAGGGGGTAACAGGCACCATTGAGACAGGGGGCCTTTGCCCAGCCAGCATGTCATTAAGGCTCCAAATAGCAGCAAACCACTCACCATCACAGGAATCTGACTGGTCGATACTCCAGACTCTGCCCCCGGGGGCGTGGCTGCCTGAGCACCATCCGGCACCCGTTTGCGTTTGCGGCGGCTGCTGCTGGACCCCCCCTTACCTGGTGGAAATGGCATAATAAGGTTTTATTAAACCCTGGACCCCCATGTCCCTCACTAATCATGACCCACGTGCGTGACACGTAAATGTGTCAAACCAATAGTGCTGTGCTCACCTGTGTTACACGTCTGGGTGCAAATTTCTGCAAAAGGCCTGTATCCAAAAAAAAAAAAAGACAAAAGTCATTGCTGACACTCATCCAGCAGAAAGAAGACGCCCATCCGTTCATCCCTGACATGTCCAAGAGGCATCCTTCAACACACAATGGTTATGGTTCAGTTAGGGTGACAGTGGTTTCTTGTGTGATCACTCACTGTAACTGGCTCTTTATGTTGATGGTGATGTCATCCCGTGCCAGGAGGATCTTCTCCAAGCGCACAATGTCATAAGTGTTAGGGTTGCGGAAGGGAATATCTTCCGGAAGACCAGAAACTTCCACAGAGTCCGGACTGGCACGGATCAGTTTGTACGGCACCAGGACAGAGCGATCCAAGCCGAGAGCTTCTCCTGAAGATGGAGCATGGGGAATTCATAGGTACACAGGGACAGACAGAAGGACACACTGCAGAAAACATGGTCACATGTGAAAGTCTCCAGCTGACCATATTTCTTGTTGAAGAGCTCCTTGACTTGCTCCCGGAGGATGACCTTCTCCCCCATGCGGTTCACATCCTCCTCATCTGTTGGTAACAGAAACGCAACTTTCCGATGGGAAAACAACTAGCTAGCATGGTGAGCATGTTACGAGGCAGGAGACACTCGCTCTTACTGCCCTTACAGGTACTGAGCGTGCGGCCCGGGACACCGGCCACTCACCCTTTATCGACGCGTAGGCCTTCTTTAACAGCGTGATCCGCCGCGGAGCTGGGGGGGGACAGCAGTGCAAAGTGAGTCCAGTGCTTTCGGAACTTCAGTCTGTCTGATCATGAGCTGAGAGTTGAATGGGGTTTACCTGGTTTGGGGATGAGTCCTTGGAATGGTCTGGAAGAAAAGAAATCCCAGTTTGTTTGTATTTTTTGAACTGTATCTCCATCCCAAATGACATGCGGCATGCATGAGCAGTGCCCCCTACCTGGTGATTGTGAAGGAGATCTTGTCGGCCACCGCTAGGATCCTCTCCAGGTTCTGGGAACCAAAGGTGCACGGCTTTCGGAAGGGGATCCCCGGGGGAAGCCCCTCGATGATGACGGAGCCGGGGTTGCTCTTGATGCGCTTATAGGGTACCTGCACCGGGTACTTGATGCCCAGGGCCTCACCGTACTTCCTGTTGAACAGATCCTGGACCTGCTCCCTCAGAGTGTTGGCCAGATCGATTCTGGACAACTTGGCCTCCAGGTTGTCTGTGAGACGCGCACACACACAACATAAGTTCTAGCCACCATTTTGAGATCTTCCAAATTACTTGTTTCACAAGCTAGGCCAGGGTCAACCCATCTCAATGCAAGTCAATCAAGTCACTTTACTGTCATTTCACACAGAGCTTTGGACAGCCATAACAACAGAACAGTTTAACAATGAACACCGAACAAAAAATACTGGATATATTAAAATATAAACCCCAGAACACAACACTGAGTGCATGTTAAGGTCAAAGGAAACCCTATGAGGAAAGCATATAGAAAGCATATGTATGCGGACAGTAGACAGTGCAAAATAATATCACATATGTTGGTGGAGAATTTTCAGTAACACTTTACTTAAAGCAGTCATCATAACGCATTATTGATAGTATCGATACCTTCATAATGTATTATAATGCACTCATAAAGTATTACATACATGGCTAAAAATATTTATAAAATAGCACAACACATTATAGACATTTGTATTATGCATTATGAATGATCTATGAAGGTCTCATCTATAATGCACTATAAATGGTTACTAATGCTGCGAGGGGGAACTTCCATGCCTAGTATAAACTGACAATGCCATCCTTACCAGAGTATCCTGGTCTTTTCAGTGCCGTTCCGGTATCTTCTAGAACATTATCCTTAGAGTCCATGTCTGCTCATGTAGAAACACACAGTAGCACTCAGTCTTTCTGCATTTTAAGTATTTTTAAAGTCCTTTCAGAAAAAAACTGCCCATCATATGTGATGCAGATCCATTTTTGGTGAATATAAATAATCAGCATGCATGGGTGAGTCAGCATTTTAAAGATTACTGTTCACTATCATCAACTGATTTTGTGCTTCCAGAGGAAGCGTTCTGATGATGGCGCTGACGCACCTGGGTTAACAGTTGCATTGAGGGGGGCATCATGCTTGATTGGATCGGTTAACAGGTCCAGTCTGCAAAACAGGAGGATTTTTCACATAAATACTAACATCTGGACAGGTGTAGCAGAGCATCAAAACAACTTTCTCTTCATAATATTAGGCACAATACTATACTATACTAACCACAATACTAATTAATCGATAATGTAGTAGCGGATTGGCCGAATCTGACTTTAGACACTCGCCTTTTGATGACAAAGCGGATCTGGCTGCCCAACTCCAAAATTTTCCGCAGTTTGTTCACGCCGAAGCAGTTGGGGCGCCGGAATGACATGCCCTCTGGGAGACCAGTCACGTACAGATCGTCCGGGTACATCTGGAACTTGGAGTAGGGCACTCTCGTGGGTTCTGGGAGGCCCAAAGCTTCAGCTGGAATGAAGAGAGACACACAGGCTTCATGCACTGCATCAGAGCCCAGTGGACAACTGAATTCCATCATGAAACCAGATCCTCTGTGGGGAGCATCAATGGATTCCCACCTGAAGCACAACACCATTCTTCTGGCCTAGCTCACATCTGCATCGGACATAGGTGTGACTTACCATACTTTGCGTTGAACAGACCCTCCACCTGCTTGCGAAGGTGCAAAATCATCTCGCCGAGGTCCTCTGAAAGACACAAGCAACATGGACTAGTGCTCCTCTCAGAAGAAGCCAGACCAAGAGATGGGGCAAAGAGGTCCTTTTACCTTCAGCAGATCTTTGGGGCAAACTGGATGCCAGTTTAGGTGATGCTGACCCAGCTGAAAAGGAGAAGATACATCCTCAGTCACGACATAGACCAAATAGCAAGGATTCCCCAGGTGAAAAGGGACAGTAGTGATGGGTCATCAGCTCCCATCACTGAATCAAACACGCTAACATTTCTGCACTTACCGACATTCAACATGATGCCAAGTTGCACAAATCAAAACACTGCTAATATGAGTTAATATGAACACTTGGATATGAATACGTTTTCCTAAAACAGTTCAAGCTCAATATTTCTTCGCAGCATCAAATCAAAAGCCATTATTATCAACAAATCATGGTCCAACTATTAGTATGAGCTGCTCATCTGATGGCAGACTGTAATAAGCAGTAAATGTTCAAGAGGTCTTATTAACTCACGGTTTCTGCCTAGTCTCCAAAGTAAGGTTTTTGGGTCAACGGACAGATGTGTGGTCTATATCCACTAGACCAGTGTTTCCCAATCTGGGCACACACCGACAGTCTATGTTTTTTTTGCTCCCTATTGGGAGCTGAGAGGGAGCAAAAATGTGGAAAGAATGTCTGTGAGTCCCCGAGGACTGGATTGGGAAACACCGCAGTAGATGTTCACAGAGCGCTATGGCACGGTCAGTGGGGGGCGCTATAGGGCTAACAACGACATGAGGTCTAGGTCATGAGTGTACAGTCACACCTGGCATGCAGGAAGGAAACCAATAAAAGCTGGGGGGGTGAATTTTAAACAGAATTAAGTTATAATATGAAACAAAAAACATTACACACCACAACATATGTAGCTGGATCTGGGTGCCTGTTTTATACTAATAATCAGATGCTAGGATAAATGTTGCAGCTACTAAGGAAAGAAATATAAAATATAAAGTGGTACATGTGCATGTTCAGGGCAGGCTGATGTCCAGCTTATTCTCCCCTTCAAAGACAGCAGCAGGCCGGACTGTAGACACATGGCACTTTAGCACACGGCGCCGTCACCCAGAAATCAGCTCACTATCAAGCCTCCGCCAGCTATCACAGGTGCTGCGAGAAACTTAGTTTTGAAAAGAGTGTCCCGAATGGAGAGCTGGGAAAGACTGATGGTGCTTTTCCAGATTGAATAGGTCACTCCTGATGAACAGAGGAGAACATTGGGCAGGGCCACTGGAAGATGGGGCGCCAGTATGGTCTCAAGGGCGGGGACACTGAGATTTGAGGTGCTACTGAGATTTTGAGGGTGGGGTGAGGGCGGAGCCACTGGGAGAGAGGGAGCTAGTGAGATTTTGAAGGCAGGGTGAGGGGAGATGAGAGTATCTGTGAAAAGAGATTTCATACGTTTCCGGAAATGAAGCTCCCTAAGAGAGGGAGCGAGGCTGCTGGCCACGGCCCCCAGGGCGGCGCTGTGTCCCGCCGGTGCAGTGGGGAGGTGAAGCCGCAGTTACCTGCAACGACCTCTGGGGGGTGCATGTCAGGGGCCGCGGAGTCGACCAGAGGCTCGCTGGGCTCCTCCACAGAGACGCTGGTGTCTGAACGGAGAGACAGCAGGAGGGTAGCGGTGAGGCACAGGGCACTATGGATCCATTAAGGACCTGCATCCGAGCCAATGGTTCCTCGGAATTAGTAATACCGTGAATTACCATTAATTATACTGATTTATCACAAGGTTATGAAACACATCATTCGCATTTCAGTTACACCGGCATCTTCATTCAAACCTGCCTGATTAGTAAATGAATACATCATAAATTCTTCAAACAATACCCACCCACCTACCCATCCATCCACTAATTTTTTTTTAATAGGGGGCCTGGAGGTAGTAAAGGGCACTAGGCTAGAGGACACCCTGGACCGGAAAAATGTCCCCACAAGGTAAAAAGTTACAGCTTTTTATCACATTGTGGGGAAATCTGGTCCCCCACAATGTAACAACTACACACACACCAAGTTGCAAAATATCCTGCAGGAAACTGGAGTATCAGGAGGAAACGCACATGACAGGAAATCTCCACACACACTCAGCAGAGGTAGGACTCGAACCCCCGACCCTGGAAGTGTGAGGCTGCAGAGCTGCCCACTTCATTCACACTTCGTTGTGTCGGCGTGCATTTCAAAGACAGCACAGAAATTCCATCCAGCGCAGCGCTCCAGAACGTGCTGGAGCTGCTCCGATCTGCCAACACGCCGGAGAATTCCGCAGCTATCAGGCCTGCGGAGCCCTTCTTACCCGGGATTGTCACCTGGATGATTTCTCCATCCGGCGGCTCAGTTTTAATCTTTTTCACAGGAACGCAATCGGCAGAAGGCCCTAGGAAAGCAGAGCAGGCAGGCATCACACAACCGGGACATACCCCTAGATCTCTGCAGACATTTTGAACCTTCCTGTAACATCCAGAACGAAAATCAGCAACACCTGAACAGCAACTAACCTGGTTCACAGTCTGCTAGCGGACTTACACAGGAGCTGGTTGATCTGAGAGGAAAGAGAGACACAAACAAGTAAACATAAAAAAACTTGTCTGCCAAATCCAGTTATGGCTCAGTGGGTTAGAACGCTGTACCTGTGATCGGAAGGTTGTCAGTTTAAATCCCAGAATCAGCAGAGTGATGTCACTATTAAGCCCCTGAGCAAGACCCTTAACCCCAACTGCTCCAGGGACTGGCTGACCCTGCATTCTCAAAAGGAAATGTGGCTTTGGATACCCCCCCTGACCTGCTGCTCTGAGCATTGGCAGACCCTTCCAAAGCCGGCAGCTGGACCCGGGGGACATCCTGGAAAGCGTCCTCTGTCATGGAGGGCAGCTCCTCCTTGCACATCTTTCCAGCAGCTAGAGGAAGGACACGGCATAGAGACTACAGAAAGCGCCAGGCTAGCTGGTAGCTACACTAGCTATCCAGAAGGCTGCAGGTTCGAGACCAGCAATGTAACCTTCTACTAGCTAGTTGCTCATGATCTGCAGCAGGAGAATATCAAACCGCATATACAGCATAAATGCTGGGGCTGCTTTATAATTAAGCTATCATTATGACAGCACATCAGCACTGATTCAAATGACCTGTTACAGTTTAAAGGCGTGTCTGAAATTACCTGTGAAAATCCTCTCATCAAACATCCTGTAATGAAGGAAAGAGTATGTCATTAGTATGTGATTAGCATGTGATCATTGCAGAAAGGAGCAAAGCTGGGTCATATTTACAGGGACTTCCTCACTCGTGCCCCAGAAACAACGAGCTCAGGGTGTTATTGGCTGTGAAGCACACAGTGACAGAGTAACAGCCCGTCAGCTGAGAAACAGACAGTATGAGATGTAAGGCTAAGGGTACAACTTACTCATAGTCATTCATTTTGGGCGCTAATGAATTATTTTACTGTCCTGTTTATTGCACAGCCTCATTAATAATTGTGGAACATTTATTATTTGAGGTTGGCTTGCTGCACATAAGCAGCAAATCAAACTTTTAAAAATGTTTACTTGTCCTTATAGAAAGAGTAACAGCAATAGGCCAGTTTCATCTGTATTTTGAAAAAAACAGGGTTGAACCAAAACCATTCAAAACACAGAATTTAGCTGTCACTTCCAAACACAGTTGCGTTGACCATAGGTCTGGGATCGATAAATCAATAACGTTAATCTAATCTAATCTCATCTAATCTAATCCAATCTAATCGAATCTAATCTAATTTAGCATAATCTAATATAATCTAACCTAATTTAATGTAATGTTTGTGCCAAAGACAAAGCGCTTCAGTTTACCAACGTTTACATCACCACCTGAGACCTTAAGGTTGCATCGACCACAAGTGTGACCCAGAAACAAACACTGGTATTTACCGCCTGACCACGAAGCGCACTCTGTGCCTCTCCTCCAGGATACGCTTGAGTTTGGGCACTCCGTATGTGCATGGCCTCTTAAAGGGGATCTTATCTGGAATCCCAATGATCTCCACTGCCTCCGGGTCACACGCGATCTTCCGGTATGGAACAGGAACCATGTGGTCTAGACCCAAAGCTTCAGCTGAAATGCAGGAAACAGACCAGTGTAAAAAGCGTTAAAAAGCCTCATTATCTGTAATGTAGTCTCACTGTATATCTTCAGTTTAAAACTAATGATATCGTGGCTCTATATTTTTGCAGTTTTATTTCATTACACAGATGTACATTGTGTGTTTGTCTACAAATGTGACAAACGAAACTCCTAACATGAAACGTGAAACGTCCATGAAGCTGCCTGCGCGGATCCACTCTGGGCTCTCAGCCCCGACACCAGCAGGAAAGCAGTTAGAGACCCCCAAAGCCGGGGAGATGTGTAGCTCACCATAGCGGCTGTTAAACAGGATCTGCACGCATTCCCGCAACGTGTTGATGTCTTCCGTCTCCCGAATGAACGTGTCCCATTTCTCTGTGGCAGAAGAATGAATTTCTAACATTAAAAATGACACAATCCTCTAGGTGTCAGACCGTCTTAACGTAAACAGTCACTCTGTCAGTCTGGCTGAGATAGAGGGAATCTGTGTAGAAATTTGTTTGTGGTACTTTGAGATTCGTAACAATATTATGGAGCAGATTCAGGGTGGTAGTACTCTGCAATGCCTTAGCAGTTACTGAATGCCCAGCTGGAATTCACTGAAATTATCATTGTGGTACTCCCAGAACAAAATGCATGGTCTTGATGTTTTAATGATTCTTATGATCCATTTGGCTGAACAGTGACTGGCTCTGACTGTCACTGATTAAACTGTGATTATATCACATTGGTCGATTTGGACTCAAAGTGGGTGCAGGAAAAAAATCCACCTTTTTCCTCTTAATTTTTCTGAAATTGAAGTGGACAAGAAATTTACTCCAAAAAAATGAGCATTCGGTTTATTACTGTGATGCCTAACTTCGACACATGTTGGATAAAACAGAAAAGTAAAACTGAAATTACACACAACTAGGACTTGAGGGTATAGAAATGGATGGATGGATGGAAATATGGGTGTTTGTGTTCATTGTTGATTTAAAGTGCTGGTCATTGTTTTAAATTAGAATCAGGCCGTGTGGAGGTCGCATGCTCTCCCCGGGTTCGTGTGGGTTTCCGCCGGGGGCTTCGGTTTCCTCCCACAGTCCAAAAGTATGCAGGATAGGTTGACTGGCGACTCTAAGTTGGCCTCGTAATTGTGAGAGTGTGCGTGTGACTGTGTGAGTGTTTTCGCCCTGCGGTGTGTTGGTGACTGCCCAGGGTTGGTTCCCGCCTGTGCCCCTTGTTCCCAGGATAGGCTCCGGTCCCCCTCGCGGCCCCAGTGGGGATTAAGCAGTTACGGTGATGGATGGATGGATGTTGCATCAGGATGACGTGGTTAAAAACCAAAAATGGTCAGAATCAAACAGTATTGCCTTCTGTACAAGCCATCCTGTCACCATAAACATGATCGCTAACATAAACATGATCACTCAAGGTCAATTGATACTTCACTTTTCCACAGGCGCTTTTGGTCCACGCAATGAGTGACGTACGTTTTGTCATCAGGGAATTGCACCGGATGGTTCGAGTGTAGCCCAGATATTCATGTCTGGCAGATAACATGTGCATCAGTGCGCAACAACTGCGCATGTGCAAGGAAATTGACTAGGTGTATTCCAGTAGGTGGTAGCACTGCCTTTCACAGAGTAGAGGTCAACAAAGAAAGAGTATGGAGATTTCTTTGTGACATTTCTTTAATTGTGTGTGTCAATCTATTGTCCAATAAATATGGTGGCCCAGACGGGTCAATGTAATGCAAAAGCCGCAGCATAAATACAAAAAACACAAGACATTTAGTATCGCGTTTGTGTCGCAGAAATATATGAGGCACCAAGTTTGGAGGTCTGTAGCTATTGACTCTGCAGACAGTTGGTGACTTCTGCACACTGCGCGCCTCAGCATACGTTGTCCCCGCTCTGTGATTTTACATGGCCTAACACTTCATGGCTGAGTTGCTGTTGTTCTCAATTGCTTCCACTTCGTTATAATATCACTAACAGCTGACCATGGAATATTTAGTAGCAAGGAAATTTCACGAATGGACTTATTGCACAAATGGCATCCTATCAAACTATATTCATAAAGGTTTCCCAGCTTCACTACATCGATTGTATTTGTGTTTGTTGCAATACGTCTGCCTTCTCCTGGTCTGCAGCACTGACCGTGACCATCTGCGTCCACTGACAAATGTACAAAAGAGTCTGTACACAATGCATGTACACAAGAGTCTGTGTGCACGACCGTGAGTGGACTCAAATCAAACACGGAAAAGTGAAGTACAAATTAGATTTGGCATTGACATGATCGATAATGTTTTACAGTGCTCAGACTCACAAGTCTAAAGGTTTTGACAAGATGTGCATGTCAATAATAAAAAAATAACAGCTGACCTTCCACATTGTTAATTTCTCACTGGAATACAGCGCATTAGCCGTTCTTAGCTATGCTACCAGCACCTGCTATGAATGCAACACCATATACACAGAACTTTCACTGAAATCATCATCCGGATGTTTCTCAAACTTTGAAACACATCAACCTATAAATACAGCTGGACTATTAAGGCCGATTTAATACTAAAATATTATTTCTAACAATGTTAAAAAGGAACAGACATATTTGCAGAACGTTTAGCTTCGTTTGCTCTGATAGCGAAATTGACCAGACACTGGCATAACCTGTCCAACCGTCTTGTGACGCAAAGATGCAGTGAACCTAGAAAGTAGGGGACACTCCGAGGGACACTGGAGAATGGATGAGGGTTCGACACAGCCGACAAATCCATTTTTGACTGTGGGAGAAAACTTGCATACCCAGAGGAAACCAACGCAATTTACAGTCACAAGCAACAGTCCCAGAGGGGCCGGGTGGCAATGCGACAGGATGAAGCATTTAAATCACAGGGCTGATTGATGATAGAGCAGACCCCCCCCCCCCCCCCAATATGGATGCAGGACACTAACCTGATTTCTCATGCACTATGGAAAACAGGAGCCTCTTGGAAAAGTGCAGACCTGTGGGGCTCTGGGCCACATCACCTGGGACCCCCAGCCGGTCGCCTGGCAGAGGAGAAAGATCACAAGTTCAGCAAGCTGCAGGACACAAATGAAAAGCTAGCACCAAGGTCACCAAGTCAGCTAACTGTACACAGTGGGCCAGTGCTAACTATGCTAAAGCCACTCAGGGTAATCCATCCCTGATCACCGATCCGTGTCACTGTACAGGGCGAGTCCATGCTAACTCCGCTAACACCCTCAGGTTAACCCATCCCTGATCACCGATCCGTGTCACTGTATATGGTGGGCCC